AAACACTTCAATATAACACTTACACTGACCCCATCAAACACTTCAATATAACACTTATACTTGCTCTATGAAACACTTCAATATAACACTTACACTGGTCCCATCAAATACTTTATTATAACACTTATACTGACCCCATCAAACACTTCAATATAACACTTATACTGGCTCTATGAAGCACTTCAACATAACACTTATACTGACCCCATCAAACACTTCAATATAACACTTATACTGGCTCTATCAAACACTTCAATATAACACTTAAACTGGCCCCATCAAACACTTCAACATAACACTTATACTGGCCCCATCAAACACTTCAATATAACACTTATACTTGCACCATCAAACACTTCAATATAACACTTATACTGGACCCATCAAACACTTCAATATAACACTTATACTGGACCCATCAAACACTTCAATATAACACTTATACTGGACCCATCAAACACTTCAATATAACACTTATACTGGCTCTATCAAACACTTCAATATAACACTTATACTGGACCCATCAAACACTTCAACATAACACTTATACTGGCTCTATCAAACACTTCAATATAACACTTATACTGACCCCATCAAACACTTCAATATAACACTTATACTGGCTCTATCAAACACTTCAATATAACACTTATACTGGCCCCATCAAACACTTCAATATAACACTTATACTGGCACCATCAAACACTTCAATATAACACTTATACTTGCACCATCAAACACTTCAATATAACACTTATACTGGACTCATCAAACACTTCAATATAACACTTATACTGGACCCATCAAACACTTCAATATAACACTTACACTGACCCCATCAAACACTTCAATATAACACTTATACTGGCTCTATCAAACACTTCAATATAACACTTATACTGGACCCATCAAACACTTCAATATAACACTTATACTGGCTCTATCAAACACTTCAATATAACACTTATACTGGCTCAATATCAAACACTTCAATATAACACTTATACTGGCTCTATCAAACACTTCAATATAACACTTATACTGGCCCCATCAAACACTTCAATATAACACTTATACTGGCTCTCTTATCAAACACTTCAACATACCACAGATACTGGCTCTATCAAACACTTCAATATAACACTTAAACTGGCCCCATCAAACACTTCAATATAACACTTATACTGGCTCTATCAAACACTTCAATATAACACTTATACTGGCACCATCAAACACTTCAATATAACACTTATACTGGCACCATCAAACACTTCAATATAACACTTATACTTGCACCATCAAACACTTCAATATAACACTTATACTGGACTCATCAAACACTTCAATATAACACTTATACTGGACCCATCAAACACTTCAATATAACACTTATACTGGACCCATCAAACACTTCAATATAACACTTATACTGGCTCCATCAAACACTTCAATATAACACTTATACTGGACCCATCAATCACTTCAATATAACACTTATACTGGCTCTATCAAACACTTCAATATAACACTTATACTGGCTCTATCAAACACTTCAATATAACACTTATACTGGCTCTATCAAACACTTCAATATAACACTTATACTGGCTCTATCAAACACTTCAATATAACACTTATACTGGCCCCATCAAACACTTCAATATAACACTTATACTGGCTCTATCAAACACTTCAATATAACACTTATACTGGCTCCATCAAACACTTCAATATAACATTTATATTGGCCCCATCAAACACTCGTATATAACACAGATACTGTTCTCTTTAAATACTCTCATATCACTGCCCTACAAATATAATCAAGAGATGATGACTCTCTTCTGTAGTCTACATGTGTTATCTGGCTGTATACGATGTCTTCTGTAGTCTACATGTGTTATCTGGCTGTATACTATGACCAACTTGTGACAGTGATGAGGTCGTGAATGAAGCCACTTGGTGACCTGGCCCTACAGGTCAACATGAGCAACATGTCAGCTTCAGTTGACTAAATTACTGGCATTTCCTGCTATCCATATTATGTTATATACATCATATTCCATGTTTTTCTGAAATGACACTTACAATCTATTCAAAAAATCCAAAATATTTTTTGCAAAACCACTGATTTATTAGAGAACTAAAGGTAAAATGTAGGCTCATGTTCAACATCAATAAGGGGCGGTGGGGTAGCCTAATGGCTACTGCGTTGGCTTTCGATCACGCCGAAGACCCGGGTTCGAATCCCCACATGGGCACAATGTGTGAAGCCCATTTCTGGTGTCCCCCGCCGTGATGTTGCTGGAATATTGCTAAAAGCGGCGTAAAACCAAACTCAGTCAGTCAGTCAACATCAATCAACAGTAAATAAAAATATGGCAAAATTTCATTTTTTCTGATGTGCACTTAATGTTGAATGTTACTTTGAGCCCACTGTGAGTGAGTGAGTTTCGTTTTACTCCGCTTTTAGCATTATTCCAGCAATATAACGGCAAGGGACACCAGCAATGGGCTTCACACATTGTACCCATGTGGGAAATTGAACCCGGGCCTTCGGTGTGACGAGCGAAAACTGAGATAGGTGTGGTGTATTTACACTTGCTGTTGCATCTTGCCCTGATACAGCTACAGGTGAGATAGGTGTGGTGTATTTACACTTGCTGTTGCATCTTGTCCTGATACAGCTACAGGTGAGATAGGTGTGGATTATCTACACTTGCTGTTGCATCTTGCCCTGATACAGCTACAGGTGAGATAGATGTGGATTATCTACACTTGCTGTTGCATCTTGCCCTGACAGCTACAGGTGAGATAGGTGTGGTGTATTTTGACACTTGCTGTTGCACCTTGCCCTGACAGCTACAGGTGAGATAGGTGTGGTGTATTTACACTTGCTGTTGCATCTTGCCCTGATACAGCTACAGGTGAGATAGGTGTGGTGTATCTATACTTGCTGTTGCATCTTGCCCTGATACAGCTACAGGTGAGATAGGTGTGGATTATCTACACTTGATGTTGTATCTTGCCCTGATACAGCTACAGGTGAGATAGGTGTGGTGTATTTACACTTGCTGTTGCATCTTGCCCTGATACAGCTACAGGTGAGATAGGTGTGGATTACCTACACTTGCTGTTGCACCTTGCCCTGATACAGCTACAGGTGAGATAGGTGTGGATTACCTACACTTGCTGTTGCACCTTGCCCTGACAGCTACAGGTGAGATAGGTGTGGTGTATCTACACTTGCTGTTGAATCTTGCCCTGATACAGCTACAGGTGAGATAGGTGTTGATTACCTACACTTGCTGTTGCACCTTGCCCTGACAGCTACAGGTGAGATAGGTGTGGTGTATTTACACTTGCTGTTGCATCTTGCCCTGATACAGCTACAGGTGAGATAGGTGTGGATTACCTACACTTGCTGTTGCACCTTGCCCTGATACAGCTACAGGTGAGATAGGTGTGGATTACCTACACTTGCTGTTGCACCTTGCCCTAACAGCTACAGGTGAGATAGGTGTGGTGTATCTACACTTGCTGTTGAATCTTGCCCTGATACAGCTACAGGTGAGATAGGTGTTGATTACCTACACTTGCTGTTGCACCTTGCCCTGACAGCTACAGGTGAGATAGGTGTGGTGTATTTACACTTGCTGTTGCATCTTGTCCTGATACAGCTACAGGTGAGATAGGTGTGGTGTATTTACACTTGCTGTTGCATCTTGCCCTGATACAGCTACAGGTGAGATAGGTGTGGTGTATTTACACTTGCTGTTGCATCTTGTCCTGATACAGCTACAGGTGAGATAGGTGTGGTGTATTTACACTTGCTGTTGCATCTTGCCCTGATACAGCTACAGGTGAGATAGGTGTGGTGTATTTACACTTGCTGTTGCATCTTGTCCTGATACAGCTACAGGTGAGATAGGTGTGGTGTATTTACACTTGCTGTTGCATCTTGCCCTGATACAGCTACAGGTGAGATAGGTGTGGTGTATTTACACTTGCTGTTGCATCTTGTCCTGATACAGCTACAGGTGAGATAGGTGTTGATTACCTACACTTGCTGTTGCACCTTGCCCTGACAGCTACAGGTGAGATAGGTGTGGTGTATTTACACTTGCTGTTGCATCTTGCCCTGATACAGCTACAGGTGAGATAGGTGTGGATTACCTACACTTGCTGTTGCACCTTGCCCTGATACAGCTACAGGTGAGATAGGTGTGGATTACCTACACTTGCTGTTGCACCTTGCCCTGACAGCTACAGGTGAGATAGGTGTGGTGTATCTACACTTGCTGTTGAATCTTGCCCTGATACAGCTACAGGTGAGATAGGTGTTGATTACCTACACTTGCTGTTGCACCTTGCCCTGACAGCTACAGGTGAGATAGGTGTGGTGTATTTACACTTGCTGTTGCATCTTGTCCTGATACAGCTACAGGTGAGATAGGTGTGGTGTATTTACACTTGCTGTTGCATCTTGTCCTGATACAGCTACAGGTGAGATAGGTGTGGTGTATTTACACTTGCTGTTGCATCTTGTCCTGATACAGCTACAGGTGAGATAGGTGTGGTGTATTTACACTTGCTGTTGCATCTTGCCCTGATACAGCTACAGGTGAGATAGGTGTGGTGTATTTACACTTGCTGTTGCATCTTGTCCTGATACAGCTACAGGTGAGATAGGTGTGGTGTATTTACACTTGCTGTTGCATCTTGCCCTGATACAGCTACAGGTGAGATAGGTGTGGTGTATTTACACTTGCTGTTGCATCTTGTCCTGATACAGCTACAGGTGAGATAGGTGTGGATTATCTACACTTGCTGTTGCATCTTGCACTGATACAGCTACAGGTGAGATAGGTGTGGATTATCTACACTTGCTGTTGCATCATGCCCTGATACAGCTACAGGTGAGATAAGTATGGATTATCTACACTTGCTGTTGCACCTTGCCCTGAGAGTTACATGTGAGATAGACATGGCCTACATACGTTTACTGTCAGAGGAGCTGGCTCCAGCGAGGCTGGCTACTTGGTAGATGCTGTCTGCCTGGTTGCTGAAGTCTGCAACCAGGCTGTTCACACTTGGATTCACATTGTTCTGAAATGACAAAATGTTATTCATCTGATGTATATTTGTTTCTGAAATTTACATTCTTAGAATTCTTGCTCTTGAAATGGTAATTTCTCCTGCCTAGAATGCCGGATGTTATGGTTAAGTTCTTAGAAGATAAAACCAGTATCCAAGAATATACATTCATTATCATCATCCATGTCTAAACAATGAATACACTCCTGCAGTTACCAACCTTACCATACTAAAATACTTCCCCAAAGACAGCTAGAGGAACTAGAGTGGAGGAAGAGTGGAAGGAGAAAGAGAAGAAAAAGAAGTGAAGAAGTAGTAGAGGAAGAAAAGATGGAAGAGCAGATGGAGAAAGCAAAAGGTGAAAGACAGGTACAGAAGGAAGAGAAGAGGAAGTATAGGAAGGGGTGGGGAAAGAGTGGAGGAAGAGGCAGAGGAAGAAGAGAGGAGCAAGAGGTGGAGGAAGATGAGTCGAGTGAAAAGAGGTAGAGGAAGATGTTTTAGAAGAGTGGAGGAAGAAGAGTGGAGGAAAGAGAAATATGGAGGAAGAAGAGAATGAAGAAGAGGTGGTGGGAGAAAAGTGGAGGAAAAACAGGAAGAAGACAATGAGGGAAGGAGTTGGAAGAAGAGGGGAGAGTGTAGTGGAGAATGGAGAAAAGAGGAAATAGAGGAGGAAGAAGTGCCCAATAGGCCAATATATAAGTGATCCTTATAAATGTCTTCTATATCTGCTTGTTTATATAAACATATGGTACAGGAGACAGCAGCCTAGAATTGCCTTGTAACAATTACTGACAGTTTAGTTTCATTGTTCTATGTTCACCACATATTGATCTCTGAAAATGCATTTAACTCATGCATGATTTTAATAACTGCTCGATCCACACCATACGAATTTTCAAATGCTCAGGACGTTTATTGTGGAGAATATGTTACATTCATGGGAAATTCATCAATTATCGACAACCCATCAAAATGACCAATGAATGGGTTGGATCAAATACATAGTGAAAACAGATGATTGAGTTAAACCTGATTGCCAATACCATGAGCATGATGTGCAGTTAATTGTCTATAACTGGTGTGTGGACCAATTATGTGCCACCTGGTATCCATTGGAAACAGATGTGTATGTGTGTACCTATACAGGTTTAATAAAATTAACCTCAACCTTAAACTAAAGTAACCTCAACATGGTGAACAGTGCTATAATACTTGCTAAAGTTCATGTACATTTCTTTTGTGGCAGTATTCTGTTTCCATGACAAATGACATCTTTGTTTTCCCTGAAAGCAATGCATGCACAAATTACCTGGAGTGAGGTATTACACCTGAAAGTTGAGCCAGGTATAACCCTCTTATTTAGTTATCCTCTTATAACCATGGAGGCTGGAGGCTGATTGGACACGCTAACCATCATACACGACAACTACAGGCCAAACATGACAAGGGAAGGGACAGATTCGTTACAGGTGTATGTTGTACAGGTGCCACACTGACAGAACCAGCCCGGGTCTCTGGGACAGATTTGTTACAGTTGTATGGTGTACAGGCTCACACTGACAGAACCAGCCCGGGTCTCTGGGACAGATTCGTTACAGGTGTATGGTGTACAGGCTCACACTGACAGAACCAGCCCGGGTCTCTGGGACAGATTCGTTACAGGTGTATGGTGTACAGGCTCACACTGACAGAACCAGCCCGGGTCTCTGGGACAGATTCGTTACAGGTGTATGGTGTACAGGTGCCACACTGACAGAACCAGCCCGGGTCTCTGGGACAGATTCGTTACAGGTGTATGGTGTACAGGTGCCACACTGACAGAACCAGCCCGGGTCTCTGGGACAGATTCGCCATACAGGTGTATGGTGTACCAGATGCCACACTGACAGAACCAGCCCGGGTCTCTGGGACAGATTCGTTGCAGGTGTATGGTGTACAGGTGCCACACTGACAGAACCAGCCCGGGTCTCTGGGACAGATTCGTTACAGGTGTATGTTGTACAGGTGCCACACTGACAGAACCAGCCCGGGTCTCTGGGACAGATTCGTTACAGGTGTATGGTGTACAGGCTCACACTGACAGAACCAGTCCGGGTCTCTGGGACAGATTCGTTACAGGTGTATGGTGTACAGGTGCCACGGACACAGAACCAGCCCTGGTCTCTGGGACATAATTCAGTGATTCTGTTTTATTACATGTGACATGTCTGTCATGAAGATGTCCCCGTTGACGTTGTGGATGTTGCTCACCTTGCAGTATTAGAAATAATGCTGCCCCTCATGACAGAGACAAGTAACACCTCAACAGGACTGGTTACCATGGTTACCTTTTTAGGAAAATCTACCTTCTTTCATTGATACATCATTTAAACAAATTGTGGACAGGTACAAATACGGAGTTTCTGATGCGTATGATCTGATATCTGGAAAGGAAAAATTAAATGAATCTGTGTTGTGACAGCAATGGATATGGTGCGGACAAAAGGATTTCTTGGTGTGATCATTGTACCACAGAATGACTAAACAGCCAATGGAGAAAACAATACTTCTGAGTGAAGCTGGATAAATCATGAACCAACGTTTCTAGAAACATTTTCCTCTAGTGGATTCAATCAGTACCAAGAACAGAGGGATCCCAGAAGTCATAAATCATCATTGCTAATATCAGTCAATCCTGTTTCGAAGGTAATTCAAGAATAAGAACACTGCAAGCTAACTAAAGTGACTAATTCTGATGGTCATAGTGTTGAGGGATATACAAACTATGTTTTAGAAAGATAAAAGTGTCAGAAGCTCTTGTGAAAGGGTGACATGAAACACAGACAAATTGAAGCAACTGATATATTTGTTGGAAGGAAGGTAGCACAAGCAATCTGTTACGGACACTTCACATGGGTATTGATTACAGACATGGCATCACACAATGTCTGCTGACATCCAAGAAGCTTACTGCAGCAGAGAGGATATAATAATCATCTTAACCATAATTAACGAGGTGAGTGGAAGCTGATATTATCAAATGTTACTCTTATGGCTCTATCCTCCAGCCTGTTGCTACAGCCTCCAGCATACTTGGGGCGGTGGGGTAGCCTAGTGGTTAAAGCAATCGCTCGTCACGCCGAAGACCCGGGTTCGAATCCCCACATGGGTACATTGTGTGAAGCTCATTTCTGGTGTCCCACTCCGTGATATTGCTGGAATATTGCTAAAAGCGGCGTAAAACCAAACTCACTCACTCACTCACTCCAGCATACTTGGTTGTCAACCAAATTCACAAAGGTGGAAAACATAAATGATATGATGGTTATTTAATTAAATCTTGTGTGATATGATGCACTGATTAGTAGAAAATATTGAGGATGTTTCTAATTACCAATTTCTAATCACTGAAACTGTAAGTCATCAATTAATTCAGCTGACTTACTTGAAAACACTATCGTAATCAACATGATCAAGCATGTTGAATGTTTCTTAGTATTCCAGAGCAATGAAACTGAACAGAAATTCGCTCTAGCTGATTTTTTCTAAACATTCTTAAAGTGGTGTATGTTGGATTGAAATGTATTACATGTGCAAGATATTCATCAGATTATAACGGTAACCTATATTCATCCCAAGAATATAGACAATGAAATACCTGACATAGCTGCTCATATCTAAGGTAAACCACTGTTATGTAATGTTGACATACATATAAACAGCTGAAAGTCCTGATAGTGAGTATACTTGGGTGAAACAGAGAGGTTTTGGCACTGCTGTGAGTACACATGATGTATATAGTTTTCCCAGAAATTATTGAGAAAATCTTTGTTTCCTAATATTGATAATAGAATTTTAAATAGGTGTTATATTATGTAATAACGTACTCAATGTGGGAGGCAACTCTTGTAGGCTTAATAATGAACCTTACACTATCAAGAGTTATCTCCCCTGGTGTAGCAGACGGGTTCCTTTGATGACATAGCAGATTTGACAGCAGAAGAGAAAAGAAGGCTAATTCTAGATGATTTTGAAAGGGGGTGTGACTAATACAAACAGAGTTAGCTGGTAGACATGACATTCCTCTGTCTACAGTATACAGAACTTTGAAGAAAATTCAGTCAGGAGTTGAGATTGAGCACAAGACAGGGGCAGGGAGGCCAAGGAAGTTCAGTACAGGTCGCTAGCGGTCAGATTATGAGTAAGGGAAATTTAAATGAAACCCTTAAACAATAATTACAAAGACTTAACTGGGTGAAAAGGCATGGAATTCCCTCACCATTGATGAACATTAAACAAAAAGAAAGATGTTTAAACTGGTGTCGGGATCACGAAAATCAAGATTGGGATAATGTTTTATTTTCTGATGGAAGTTCTGTCTTTTTCCGAATTATGCGAAAATTTGGACAAATGATACCGTGAAACTTCTCTACCAACGTCCAAAACATAGCCTGAAATTTCACATGTTGGGTGGGATATCATCACGTGGAATCACCCTGTTGTGTATTTTCATTGGAAATTTCACAAAGCAATGATATGTTGACATCTTAAATGATCACCTCCTTCCAATGGCCCAAACACTGTATGAAGATAATTGGATTTTCCAGCATGATAACGACCCAAAATACACTGCAGACTACACAAAACAGTCGTTGTCGGACGAAAAGTTTTAGACTGGCCCAGCTACAGCCGAGGTCTTAACCCTATTGACACTAATGAAGGACAGAATATACCAAAAAAGGACTTGAGGATATGAAGTGGGCGAATATTGGTATACACTGTCACACAATTTCCTATAAACTTTGATTCGTAGTGTACCAAGGCACATTCAGTCGTGACTGCAGGGCAAGGAGGTCTCACAAAGTACTGAAAAGACACTTAGACTGTAAGAGAATCATATCTCAACATATTCATTTAAGAAAAACGTCTATAGTTTACATACATGCATTAGATATTTGCTGAAACAACTTTCTCAATAATTTCTGGGAAAACTGTAACAGTTATATCCCGGCAGAGAGATTTCTGGGAAAACTGTAACAGTTATATCCTGGCAGAGA